CACCTGACAGCCTTCTGTTTCTTAAATTGCCATTACTTTTTCTTATTTCACTGGGGGGGTTTTCATGCTCGTTCTGTGGCTCATTCTCTCCCCAGGACAGTGCTGCTGTGCAGATCCTCCTGGAGATCTGTTTGCCCACCGAGGAGGAGAAGGGCCAGGGCAGCAGCTCGGAGGGTTTGCTGCTGAGTGCCCACAGTCCCAGGGGTGCTGAGGCCGAGGAAGAGGAGGGTTTGCTGTGTAACCTGAGGGAGGTGCAGTGCCTCATCTGCTCCTTGCTGCACCAGATGTACATCGCCGACCCCAACCTCGTCAAACTCGTGCACTTCCAGGTCTGCCTCGCGCTGCTTCGGTTCTCTGGTTGTTCCTCAGGTCAGGGAAGAGCCAAGTGAAGTGGTCACAGGTGCTGGATGCTGTCCTTGTGTTCCTCAGGAATGATAATGACCCACTTCTCCTCTCCTGTCCCACCAAATTTCTATTACTTGTATTTCCTCCCTGTTTCAGTGTTTGGACTCTCTTGTAGGGAGAAGGGAGCACTTAAACCGTGCCTGTTCCTCATCAATAAACATGTACTTTGTTTGTACCTCTGCCCTTTTTTATAGTTTGTCCATCTAGGCCAAGGAAAACTGGCCTAATCATCTTCTAATTACTTGTTCCACATCTTTTTGTTCCACATCTTTTGTGGGTTATTTCTCTGGCCACGTGTTTAAATCAGTGTTCCCATTATTCAAAACTAATTTGGCTTCCAATGTAAACATCTTATCTTTCCTTTTTGTTAGGGCACAGTTTATCTCCCTGGAGTGGAAGGAGGAAGGTTGTCCCTGCCAAAGCAGCTGTGCACCTTCAAAAAAAAAAAAAAAGAGGGGAAAGATTAGCAATTTTTAAAATATAAATGGGTTTTTAATGCATGTTAAATTGCTCCTTGCCAGATGGTGCACTCTTTACAAGGAGTTAATTTGCCTTGACCTGGAACTGATTAAGTACTAAAAAAGTCATTATGGTGCAGTTGTGAAATGAGGAAATTGGGGCTGATGGTGAAGTTTGGAACACGGGAAAGACAAGGAAGGAAAGGGTCACTGCAGTCTGGTTGTGTTTGGGGAGTGGAGGGAGGGTTTCTGTGCAAATAATACACTGAGTGTTGAGGGCAAAGAACTGATCTAGAGCCTGGGTTTGTACCCAGCCTGTGACACGTTGACACATCTCTTTCCTTAATCCCACAGGGTTATCCATGTGAACTGCTGGCACTGACAGTGGCAGGGATTCCATCCATGCACATCTGTCTGGATTTCATTCCAGAGCTCATTGCCCAGCCTGAACTTGAAAAACAGGTACTGTGCAGTCACCTGGTTTGGGAATCACTGTGGGTAGTTAATCCTGAGGAGAGAAAACAGTCACTAAAAACATCCTGTTCTAACTTGCCTGGGCTATTCAAGTAACATCTGTAGCACTTTTACCTTAAATTAAAGGCCTGGCATTGTGGGTAACTGGAATTTGTTGGGCTAAAAATTCCTCTGTTTCTGTATAGAATCATGGAATGGTTTGTGTTGGAAGAGACCTTAAATATAATTTAATTCCAACCCCTCCTGCCATGGGCAGGGACACCTCCCACTAGGCCAGTTTGCCACATCAAGCCAACTTCGTAGTTAATTTAATCCCTTCTCAGTACTAAGTTCCTGCTGATGGGAAGACACTCCACTAAGGTTAAAAGGAGAACACACCAGACCCAAACAGCTTTTTTGGGTTGGAAGTTGTTTGTTGCTTTGTTGCTCACCGTTAATGTTGGAACAATCTGTGTCTGTAGAGGAGAATCTGAAGCACTAACACTCTCACTTTGATTAATGTTATATATGTGTGGGTTATTTTTCTTAATATTAACAGGGAAAAAAATCAACATAACTATTATTAAGGCTTTTTCAGCTTTGATTTCTTGGTAAATAGAGAATATTTACCAACTTGCAAGTTACGTGAAAGTGCAAGCAATTTGTAACTTTATTGCTTATTTCTCTTTTTGCCAGATATTTGCCATCCAGTTACTTTCCCACCTGTGCATCCAGTATGCACTGCCTAAATCCCTCAGTGTGGCTCGTTTAGCCATCAACGTGATGGGAACCCTGCTCACAGGTGAGTGCTCCAGCAGCCCCCAAATTCCTCGTTGTCCGAGTCAGGATGTTTTGTCTCAGCTGAATGCAGTTTTGTCTGAATGCCACTCTTGTGACAATTAATACTATAAATGTAACAACAGTTTTTGACAGGATTTTTATAATAATTTTGTTTTCTTACCCGTGTCCTCCTGTCTCGCAGTTCTGACCCAGTCGAAGCGCTACGTGTTCTTTATGCCAACCCTGCCTTGTTTGGTGTCCTTCTGCCAAGCCTTTCCTCCCCTCTATGAGGATATTATGTCTCTGCTGATCCAAATAGGACAAGTTTGTGCCTCTGACGTTGCTACACAGACACGAGACTTCGACCCCATCATCACTCGTAAGTCAGGGGCCCTTATTTCAGAAATAACATCATGGTCCCAGGGGGAAACTTGTGGCAATATTTCAAAAGTTTGAGTGTGCATGGGATTTACTGCTGTTCTCTTTTAAATACAGAAGGAGTAGGGACAGATGGCTCTACTGGATTGATGAGAGAATTTAGAGGTTACAGGGGCTGAAAGAACTCATTTGTTAAACTTTTCCTTCTCTTTTATTTCCCTGCCTGTATCATTACAAGATGGATCCCTGCATGCAAGTGTTGTGCAGAGAACTTGCCCTTGTGGGCTAAGGATTAATGACATGAGCAGAGGCCACTGGTTTTTGGAACACAAGGGCATCTCAGCCCCTCAGCTGAGGCACAGTGGTCATGGAAATCTTCCTTATCTGGAAATGCAAAGTCAAAGGAGCTGCCTGAAGTCTTTAGACATGGTGTGGTTGGATAAATCCACAGTGATTGTGTGAGCAGGGATTGGCTGTTTTACTTTCTCAGTTGATCTTGAGCAGGTTTTTGTCTCTTTTTTTTTTTTGTCTAAAGACAAATGCTCTGCTCGTGTAATAAAAGGTCCTCTGCTGCTGTCTGTGCTGGGATATTCATCCTGAAAGAATTGAAAAGGAATATAAAAAAACCCCAAAGGAGTCAGACATAGGTAAATGACAAAGAAATGCTGTATTGTCTCTAGAAATGACCTGTGGAGTGAAGCCTGGTGAATAAAATAGTGATGGCTCAGATTTGCAATCTCATCACACGTCCCTGTGTTAGGGGTGTAAAATAACAACTTCCAATACTTGCTTTATTTATTTAGGTGCACTTTGCTGCTTCTACCTTATTTTCCAGGTCTCCAGCAACTAAAGGAGAAACCACATGATCTCTCAGGACTTTGTAAAGACTCCTCTACCAAAAGCTGGTCCAGGGACGTGGCAAGCCTGGACCCCGACGTTCGGCTGTGCCAGTGTGTGGAAAACACCATCATTGAGATCATTAACATGAGTGTCAGTGGGGTTTAGGAACAGCTCCAGGTAATTTGGAGCTTGTCCCACTGTCCACGGTGCCTAAATCTGGAGAAAGCTGTGAAAGTGCACTGAGGAGCTGGAGCAGAAATCCACATTTTTGATCCATTCGATTCAGTTACGGCTGAGGAGAAAATTCTTTCCAGAGGCTCGTGTTGCTTCCAGTGAAAACTTGTGAGGGTGATGGGATCAGGAAATAATTCCCAGTGGAACTGAGCATGATTTTCAGGTGATGCAGCAACACAGCTGAAAGGCTTTTAGGACATTTAATGTGGTGAGCAAACAGCAAAATGATAGGTAAGAAAACTTGGAGATTCAAATGAGTTAAAAGAGCTGCTGTTCCAGAGCCTTGCAGAGCAAGGTGGAATAAAGTACTCTGAGGAATACTTGAAAAAGTGGTGCCAATAACTTGCACCATCACACTGAATGCTTAGAAAATGTTTTAACTCTTTGTTTGTGTGTCAAAGTATTGGTCAAAGTTTCAGTTTGTGAGATCAGGAGCTTCATTTAAAGATCAACCAGCCTTCACTGAGAGTTTGAAACCGGTCTAAAAGTTGCTTTAAAAAAAAGGATTAATAGTAAAAATGAATTGTATAAATGTGCTTTTTAAAGAATGGGTATTTTTCATGCAACTCAGATGATTTTGGGTTTTTTAACTTAAAAAGTGATGAGAAAGACTTGAAGAAACAAGTGCAGAGCTTTCTTAAGTTGTCATCAGGATAAGACTTAGAAATTGGTGTTGAGAATGAGTGTGCAAAGGAATAAAGGAAGGAATGGCCAAAGCAGTTCCAGGCAGCTCAGAAAGCCAAATCCTTTGTGCTCCATCTTGGAGTTGGTTGTTCTTTTCCATACAAGGCCTGAGCCCACCAAGGGGATTTTTGTCATCTTACTGTAAATTATGTAAATAATCTAAATGTATGTATTTTTTCCCTCAGTTCCAAGTGTAATTTTATATGCTGTAGTGATATTTAAATAAAAAGCATTGACTCTACAAAAACAATTAATTTTTTATTTCCCTACATTATTTTATTTCCCTACTTTATTTCCAGGGTGTTTTCTGTGCACTGCCCTTAAAACAAGGATGATAATAATAAGGATAATGACAATAATGGTAATAATACAATAGTAAAAAAATAGTAAAAAAATAGTAAAAAAACCTGATAATAATAATAGTGGCCAATAATAATGGCCAATAATACAACAAGAGCAATAATAATAATAGATGTAAAATTTAATTATATATAAGATAATGCAAAATATATAGTTATATATAATATAATGTAAAATGTAATATAATACAATATAAACAATAAAATACATTGTTATTATTTCTCAGTACGGTTCTCCCCCACTAAACAGGCGGTTGCTTAGCAACGCGCGCAACCCGGAAGCCAACAAGACGCGCTGCAATTGGCTCCCGGCACTCAGGGGAGGAAGGCGGGAGCAGCGCAGTGTGCGGCTCGCCCATTGGAGGCGCGCGGCCCTTTCCTGTCAGCTGATTGGCTGGGGAGGAGGCGGGAAGGACGGAGAGCGCTGAGGAGACTTCGGGGCCGCCGGTGGGGACCGTGAGGGGAACGGGGTCGGGGCTGGACATACACAGGAAAACAGCGCCCAGGTGCCGCTCTGGGGGCTGGGTTGAAGCGGCACCACTTCCTCAGGAGGCAGAGCCGCTCCGCCCGGGGCCGAGGCGGCGGTGAGGCTGCGCTCAGGGGCGGCCCCGGCGCGCCCAGAGCGCTCCCGGCCGAGCTGACACTCCACGGAGGGGGCTCTGCGGTGTCCCCGAGCTTCCCACCGCCTCACGGGCAAACTTAGCTCGGAGTTATCCTTCATTAAGGAGCTCCCCCGAATGTGTGGGGGAAAAGCCTTTTCGTGGGGAGGTCCTTCCGTCCACCCTTCCTAGGATGCAAACTCATGTCATCAGTCTCCTTTTCTTAGGATTGCATTTTCGTGTGGAGAATCTCGATGGTGAAGCTGAATCATGCCGTATATTGGTGGTTTTGGATACATATATTTAATTAAAAGTCAGATGAGGACACAGGTTAGTGAGTTGATTTATCACCTGGAATCTGCCACTTTAAACGTGCTGAAAACCTATAAGAAAAAAAACCTGTGTTGTTTAAAAAACGTAGTCTTTTTTAAAGCCATCTGTGCCTCTTCAGTATTTTTAGTTCACTAATTTCAACTTTTTAGCATGATAGGGAAATTGCCTTTTATTATCCAGAGGGAGAGATATTCAGGGTAATAATCACAGAATAGTAAAGTCACTGACACCCCATTTCTCCTCGATTAATTACTGTGTTATTTGTGGAAGAAAAGTGGTTTTCTTTATACATTTTTAAAGTCAGTGTCCAGTTTTATTTTTCATTGTTATAAGAGGGATGGTACAAGCTGCTCTTGATACTTGTGTCTTTGGAGTTTGCATTGTCTTGGAGTTCAGGCTGGTGGAGCTGCAGAATTGAAAGACTGGCTGATATTCAGTAACTAAAAATCCTAAAATACTTTTTTCCCTGTGGCTTTGAGTTTTTATCCCAAGGATCTCCAGTCTGGCTGGTGGAATCTGAACTGGTGTGTGCAGTTCAGTGTGGTTTTATTTAAATTGCTGATGTTACTCATTAGCTGGTGGCAAGTTTTTCTTGTTTGTAATGAGGACCAAGTGTGGTGTGAATTCCTGCATTTCAGTTCTGTTGTTGTCCTGAACTATTACCACCTTAACTGCTTCTCCGTGTTTTTATTTGTTGTTATATGTTGTCTCAGGCTTTATCTGGTTGTTACTATTGACTTGCTAATAGTATTTTTTTTTAATTGCAGTTCTAAACCTGAAGTAAAGGGGAGGAAGAAGTGGCAATGCCTTCTGAGGGGGCAGAATACACCATTGGGGGGGTGAAGATCCTCTTCCCCTGCAAGGCTTACCCCTCCCAGCTGGCCATGATGAATGCTGTGAGTACAGTTTACACTGACATTTCCTAAACTGAGAGTGTTTTCCACTATTTGGAATTCCAATTTCTCTATCAGCACTTAGAAAAACTGGAATATTAAACTCAGAGCCTCCAGTGTCTTGAGAATTTCAGTTGTAACAACTGACTGTTCTCTGTGCTGGACAATATCTGGAGCATGCCTGGGGAATGCTGAGGTACATTTTGGATTTGGGAGCATTTATGCTAAGAAACAAGTTGTGTGTTGTGTAATATATATGGTTATTTATCTAGATATACTATTATAGATGATGTATATAACTTTGAGGGGCAATGATTTCATAAAACATCTGTCTCTTAAACAGAATAATAAAATACAGTAATATTTCAGTAAGTTTTCACCTTTTTGGAGTTTTTAAAAATGAATTGTTGCACTTATATGTAAACATTTTTAAGGAGTTTTAACCATTTAAAAACGTTTTTTTCTCTGTGGGACAAATGGTTTGGTTGTTATTATCATTAAAGGTGATTGTGGGGGTTGGTTTTCTACTTGCCACAGGACAGCAGGTGTCCTGACCTATTTTTAGAAGTTATTTCTAAGATGAGCTAAAGACACCTGCTTTGCTTTCTCTGAATTCTGGTTTTGCTCTTGTCGTTCTCCTTAAAGATTGTGAAAGGTTTAAATACCAGGCAGCACTGTTTGCTGGAGAGCCCTACAGGAAGTGGGAAAAGCTTGGCATTACTTTGCTCTGCATTATCATGGCAGCAATCTCTGCATGGTGAGTTGTCTTAGTGGCTGTTTGTGCAATTTTTGTTACCAAAACAGTGAATTGCTGCTGTTTATCAGCCTTTAATTTAATTTAATTTATCAGCCTTGGATTTCAGTCTTTGTCCACCATTACACTGGACAGCACAAAGCAGTGATGGCCAGTAGTGCTGAGCTGGGTTTAGGTCTCATAAGGGAATTATTTGGCTGTTGGAAGTTTGGGAGGAAAATCCTTGTGGGTTGCAGTGATGTGGATGGAACTGAAGGAGAGAGGTGGTTTGGAATTCTGCAGCCTGAAGAAATGCAGTTTTTCAGAGGGTGGTGGGGAACTCAGGCAGCTTTGTAGAGACACCAGGTTTACAACTGGTACCTGAGCTTTCACCTTCACTGTTCTGCAAGTCTGGTTGTCCTGTAGAGCCCTGAGTGGTTTTAATGAGAGCCAAATATTTGTGTCTGTCCCTCAGAGAAATCCCTGCTGAGCTCCTCGGGGGAGAAGGAGGACAGGAAGGCAGAGACGTCCCCCCTGTGCCACTGCCCGTGTCATTCCCAGCCCAGGAGCAACGAGGCTGCACCGAGTGGGAATCCTGGTGCTTCTGGTCCTTCTAATCACTGGGAAACAGCAGCTTCCATGAAACCTGGAAGCCCCCTGACAAACACAGGTAACTTCATGCACAGGCAGCTAAAAATCTCTTCTGGAAATAAAATTTGTAGTCTGAGTTGTCAGGTTTTTTTTGCTTTCAAGTCAGGGGTGATTTTTGCCATCATAATAGAGTACTACATATTTCTGCCCTGCATTAAATCTGTGTGGTGATTAATGGGTCTAGAAATGTCCAATACAGTTACCTACATCAGGTGTATTTATAGTAAAATCTGTTATTAAATTGCTGCCCTTATTTAATGCATTCTTTTTTTCTTTGATGAGTTACAGAATGTAAGGAAAACGAAACTCTGGCTTCGAAATTGGCTGCCAAAAAGAAGTCATCTCTCCATGACAGTGAGAATGATGATTTTCAAGTGGACAGGAAGAGGATCCGTCCTTTAGAAACAGAGCAGCAGGTGAACAAAGTTTATTGGCTGTAAAATAATCCAGGTGTAGCTAAACCAAGCTGGCAGATACCAATCAGTGTTACAGAGAAGGGTGTGGACAATCATTGAGTCATGTCACAGTTCAGACTGACAGGTTTCTGTTCATTTTTATTGTTACTCGTTACAAAGGAGTCCATTGTTGCATTTAAATGTTCATAATACCCTGTGCTAAACTATATCCTGCCTATTTAAACAAGTATTATCCCCAAAATATATTCATCCCCAGCTGATCTGTGATATTAAGCCAAAGTATGAGATTCTAGAGTTGAAAGTGCTCTTGGAAATGAGTGTTAGAAATTCAAATAATACAGAGTTCTGGTTTCTAGCCTGTCAGATGTTGGTATCTCTGTGTGGAGAGCAATATTCCTGTTATGTTTTCATCTGTGTCAGTGTTGGTATCACTTAAACAGCTTTTACATTGCTGCAGAGCACTTTTGATTAAGTTTTTACATCAGTATGGCTTGAATTTATTTTTTGGTTTTGTTATGGAAGTTTTCTGCTTTTTTCTTCATAGTGCTATAATTTCTTTCAGTTTTGTAACAGTGAGAAAATAAAGCAGAAGAGCTCAGCAATAATTACAGATTTTTTTCTAATTAAAACCTGAGAGTTTTCCCTAATGACTTTTGTGTGGCTAAATTTGGTTGAGCTGTTAACAAACATTAAAGGTGCACAGTGTCACTAAAACAGCCTCAGTGGAAAAGAGCTGAACCAAAGCCCTGCCACAGGGAGCACATCTTCCTGCTCAGGGCATTTGTACACTGTTTTTTTTTTCCCCAGCAGGTCAGAAAACGCCACTGTTTGGCCAGAGGAGTCCAGTTGGTTGATGCTTTAGAAGTTTATCACCAGAGGAAAAATGGAGAGCTCACTGTTCACTCTGAAAAAAGTGTGAAAACCACTGCTTGTTCTCCCCAAACGGTGAGTAATGCAACAATACCTTTTACAGCAGGAGTGGGAGTTCAAGAGCAATTAAAGACAATATTTAATGGCTCCCCAACAGCACAAAACGTGGCCCAGCAATTCAGCCTGTCAGTGTGTGACAGCAGCTGTACAGCAGCTTTCAATCTATATTTTATATTCCAGCCTCTATTAGATTGGTGACATTATGGAAGAACTTGAAACTGGGACTGTGGAAATTAGGTGAAATCAGGATTTGTGGGTTTTGTGCAACCTGCCAGTTGTTCTTTTGAGGCATATATAGTGAAAAACAGTATTTGATATTAACATGTGTGTCTTTTAGACTTGAAAAAAAATAGCATGGAGCAGATCATTACAATATATTATAACGAAAAATGAGGAATGAATATTGCACATGGTTAAGAAGAAGAGTCCTGTGTTTTACTGTGGTAGAAAAGTCCTGTGTTTTACTGTGGTAGATTTACATTTTGGGGTGGTGGTGGTGGTTTGGTTTTGTTTTTTTATTACCACCTTCTATAGGAGAAGTATCACATAAGAATTTGAGCTGCAAATGTGCTGCTGTTTCTGCAGCTTTCTGCTGGGCATTTTTCTGTTTGAATCTTACTGATTTTATGTAAATGTTTGTTGAAGTAAAACCAGGAAAAGAAGAAACATGAGGCAGAGGAGAGCTGAGGGTGAGATGCCAGGTTTGTGAGTGCTGCAGTTCCCCTGAAAGCTCATCAGGGGCTGGGACAGAATAGTTCTTATTGATATTAAAATATGGGAGCACACCATGAAATCAGGAAATTGTATATTTGGGACAAATGTAAGAAAGGAATGAAGTCTGACCTTCGTTTCTTTCATCAGCACAGAAATCTCCTTTCTTCTTCCAAAAGACAAAGAACATTCACCCTTTCCAGTGTATTTGATGTTGGTTTATGGTAATACCCCTCTGTAGGTAACTCAGCTTCTGAGTGCAGGGGGTTCTGTGCATGTTTGGAATTCTGTTTGGTTTCCACATGCATTTCAATTCTCCTTCCAGCAGCTCTTTGTATGTCCTAAATGAGCTGCTGTTTTCATCAGTGCAACCCAGAGCTGGTTTCCAGCATTCCATGCCTTTGTAAACACAAAGGAAGCCAAAAGCTATAGTATTACTTTAAGACACTGGGAGCTAAATATTTTCTTAACAAAAGTGAATCTGTGTTACAGGTCATTTGATGGGAGGTAGTTTTTGTTAGTTTTGGAAAGCTCTGAGGACTTTTTGAGTAGGATTTGAAATGCTTTTGTGCCACTGAGCTTCAACTGATAGTTTGGAATCCCAAGGCCAGCAGAGTGTGCTGTTGATTTTCAAATAAAAAGACCTTTCTTCCTTCCTTGATTGTAAAATTTCCTTTGGTGCTTTGGTGTGGGTATCTGGAAAACTCGATTTAAAACTTGTGGGAAATTTCTTATAGTGAAGAAAATTGTAAACTTTTAATATAGATCAACTAATTGTTAATAAAATACTTAAGAAAACTCTTCATTTTCTAAGGAAACTTTTTGTTTCAATAGTTGAACTGCACCTGTGTGTGTTGTAAAGTGCCCTCCATGGGGCTGATTTTGCAGGTAGACATTAGATACTATTAGATACATTAGATACTATTCAAACTGTTTGCTGCATCTTTAGAAAGAATTAACCCAAGAAAAAATGAAGGTTTTTATTTCTGTTCAAGTTTCTTTTTAAGAATTAAAGGATCAAGTGTTATTTTGCTGTGATGAACTTTTCCCTTTAGCACACTGAGAATTGGTCTGGTATCAAGAAAGAGTTGCAGGAAGGCCTTAGTTGTGCCTCAGAACTATTGATGATAAATATGTGAGGTTTAAAACATGAAGAGCCCACAGTCAGGTATAGAAATGCTTTTCTAGTGTAGCTCATGAAATAAAGTCAACAAGTTCAGCACTTATCATAATGAACTGCATGTTTGGGATGGTACAATAATGTAATAATGGTATTTTCTTCATCAATGAGCCAACCCTGTGTTTTACTGTAGTTAATCCTCTGCTTAAATTTAGTTTCTTGTCAAATCCTGTTTCTAGTCCCAAAGAGAGATGGGCTGGTTGTTGTGAGAGGATCAGAGGTGCTGCCCAGTGTTGCTCCATCAGTAGAACACCTGTAAATCCTGTGGGTGAGAATCCAAGCCTGTTGTGAGCTGCCTGGGAATCCATCTCTGGCCTCCTGCTGTTAAATCTTGCAGGACAGGGCAGTTCTGCTGTGAGCTGAAGTGGGAAATGATACCCTGCTGGTGCTCCCTTGATTTCTTGTGTCACAGAATGGCCTGAGAAACTGGGGCAGCTGGGCTAAGGAAACCCCATTTCTAGCAGGTAAAGAAAGTAAACAGTAAATGGAGAGCAGTGTAACAAACACTTGGGGTATCAAAAAACAACTGTGAAAAGAATCTGTCTTAATGTGCTAGCCCATTGCAGTTTAACATATTGCTTACAACCCTCACAATGGGCCTTGAGTGACTTCTGTTACACATTCCAGGGGACTGGCAGCCTGGTACAATCAGGGTCTGCACTCCAGACCGGGCTAATTTACCACGATGGGCCGAAGAAAGTTGTGGATTTGTATTACAGGCTCTCACCTGACACCGTATCTGATCCCTTTTCTGCTGATTGACGTTTTGAATGAGCTCTTTGAAGCGGGTTCCAGCTTAATTAAAACGTTTGCTCGGTTAGCAGTGATCTGTGAAAGCCTGTGATAAATATTGAACCGGGTTCACCTGCTGGTGACTGGGGGAGCATAAACAGCTGCTTTGTGTGCTCGGCTCGAGAGGCTGCGGCGGCAGCAGAATGCTGGGCTTTGAGAGCTTCCAAAGGGGAGCTGAAAAGCTCTGCTAATGTCCCTGCTGATCTCTGCCCAGATCGTGCCTGTGCGATATTTCACACAAGGGGCATTCACCGCTCCATCATTCACATGCCTTTGTCACCGGGAAATGGAGATGGAGATAGGAAGAACTCCTCTTACCTCTTTGTGTTTCAGAGATCACAGCCCCGGTGTTTGTTTAGCTCTATTTTACACGCAGGACAGGTCGGGGGGACTCGATTATTCCCTTTTTAATCGGACTTCCACGTTTTGCCCATATAAATATTGATGTGATAGGCTGGTTTATCTCCCCCTGACAGCAGGAAAAACAAGCTGCATTAGCCTAAGGTCCATATAGGCTGGTATCTGATCTCCAACAGCATCTGTTACTGAGTGTTTCTGATTAACCACTGGAGAAAGCAGAGGAGAATCTTTCTTTTCCTCTCTCCCAAATGAAAATCTCTTATTTCAGATTCCAACAGCTGTAAACAGGTTTAGCCCTGAAGCCAGAGGGTGTTACAAAGTACAATTCTTTTGTCTTAATATGAATTATCTCTAACCAGCTTCCCCCCTAATTTTTTCATAGGTAAATTGAAACATTTTCTAATTTTATTATAGTTCAATCAGTATCTCTGTGCTATGAGTGTAAAAATTTGTATTTTGAGGCAACGCTGCCAAGGAAAATGCCAAATTGGGGTTATTTTGTTCAGCTGGAGAGTTCTCCTTCCTTTGGCTGCAGGAATGGGAGAGGAACCCCACGTTAGGTTTGGCTGTGTGACACCCACAGCAAACTCTTGTTGTAGAAATACAGAATTAAAATAGTTTGTCTTCTATAAAATTTTAAGATGTATTTTAAGAATTCAAGTGCAAATTGACACACTTGAGAAATGTGCAGAGAACATGAACTCAACTTTTAAACTGTTTTAACCGTTTTCCTAAAGTTTCTCTTCATTACGAAGAACCTTCTTAAAAGATTTTATTAATTAATGTGTGTGTGGCTAATGGTGTCTGTGGCTTTCAGAATTGCTCTGACTACTGCAGGCAGTTTTCTACTCTTTCTAGCTACTATAAAATCAGCCTCAGTTTACAACTTTCTCATTATTGTGGAGGGTTTTCTTGACATAAAACTTTTTTCGAAGTTAAAGGTAACATTTTAGTACTGGAATAATGGCTAAAGTGCTTCTTAATGCCAGTGTTACACCAGCTACAAACCTTTCAAGCCAAACTTTTAAGGCCACCTGTAAAATACCCTAATTTATAAGCCTTACCCATGAGAACACTTTTAATTCTTTTCATAAAAAAGAAATATATCTGGTGTTTTAAGCCCATCATGGAAGAACCTTCTGTTCCCATTTGTGTATATATTAATTTGAACTGCTTTTTCCTGTTGTTCTAAGAACTTTTGCAAAAGCTGCCTAATTCCTCCTGATATTTTTCTGTTATTTTTATTTGGCAAACTGAAGGTGAGGCTTAGCAATGGCAGGGAAGTTATTAGTGGTAAAGTGTCTTCTTGGCATTCTGTGTATTCTTTTTACCTCTGACTTGAATAAAAATTAAAAGCTAAGCCTGTTGTTAAAGGCCTTGCACAGTGAGTGCTTGGGTTCTATTAATTGTTAGTGTGCTGATGTGGTTTTTATTATTTCAGGGAGTTTTCTGTGTGAGCACACAGAGCACACATGTAACATATACCATATGTCAGCTGTTTCCTGCTTGGCTGGTGACAAGAGCCCCATTCATAACTCTTCTTTTTATCCTTTCAGTGAATAAGTAATTATTCAATATAGAAGGCAGGATATTTGGAACTGGCTATTTAATGTGGCAGCACAGGGTAATGAAACCTGCTGTTCCTGGCAACCTGAGAGGGGAATGTAACAATTCCAGCATGGGTGTAACTTTAGCTGCTTTGAGGGCCTGTTTCCTTGGCACATCAGTGCACCTTTTATCCCTGTGAGTGGCAGCTCCAGGGGTTCCATTTCCAGGCCTTCTCTCCTGCATTGTGATATTTAATGGTGGAACAAGGCTGAGTGGGACTGAGGGTAACACGACCTCGATTCCCCTCGGAGTGGAGGCTCCATCCCAGATAGCTCCATCCCAGAGCTGGGGTGTAACACATGGTTTGTTTGGAATGGATCATCTCTGATACCCCTCCCTCCCCTTGGAATTGTGTCTGAGCAGGCAGCAACACGTTGGGACCTGCACTAAACCAAACACCACCTCTTTGACAACTTTGAACAACTCCCTGTTTTTCATGTGGCCGTGGTTACTCGGGAGTTCCTGGTTTTCCATGTGTCCTTTCACATTAATTATTGCAACTTCACGTGGATGGTCCCAGTATTTCATGTTATGAAAGGTGGTGCTTCTCAGGAAGGAAAAAAAATGGCTTGTAACAGATATTTTACAGGATTAGGTTCTGTTTAGAATTATTGCCTGTGTTTCTTTATTCTCCTGGTTACTGGATGGCCTTTGGCATAATGGCCCAGCAAACATGTTTCTAATGGAGAGTGTGTGACACAGTCTGTTTTAGCTGCAAACAGATTGCCCTGAACTGTCTGGATTTCTACTGCTTGCTTTGAGGAAAAATGTTCTTAATATTGGGTGCCTGATCCCAAATTTCCTTCATGGACTCTTGTTCTGTCACAGGAGTGTCCTTGGCTGAAGTTTAAACATGAGGAATTTATTTGTGTTATTCACGTGTGTAAATATTTCACTGGATTAATAATTCTTTTTGATTGAGTTGTGATAAAGTTGTGATTGCTAGAAGGGTTTTTTTTTAAGATTTTCCAGGCACAAGGATGCTTTAACACTTTAATTTTTGCAGCTTAATAGCCCAACCTGTTGAACTATTGAGCTGTCCCAGAGGGCATTTCCTAAACAGACCATAAGCAGATTTAGCACATTCATCTCCCAGTGAGATTTTATTAATTTTCTTTTTTTTTAAATCTTGGTTTGCAGCCTTCTGCCCCTTGCACTGAATGTTCCTGCTCTTCTGGAAAAGAACCCACTAAGGATCCCAGTCACACAAAGAAGAAGGAAAATGGAGATCGCTTGTCTGTTCCCAAAATATTTTTTGGAACACGGACTCACAAGCAAATAGCCCAGATCAGCAGGGAGCTGAAGAGAACAGCCTATTCCTCTGTCCCCATGACCATCCTGTCCAGCAGGGATTACACCTGCATCCACCCAGTGGTATCCAACAGTGGGAGCAACAGGAATGAAATGTGTGTAGAACTGCTGGAAGGAAAAAATGTGAGTCCTTTGGTTTCAGAAAATGAGCATTCGTTAAACACAGTCAAATTTAAGGGAGTTGAGCAGCTGGATGAGGAATATTTTTTACTGTGTTGGTTAAATGTCTCCTGGTAATTTGGTTTAAATATTAATCATTAGAAAATGTAGATACACTTCAGCAATACTGAAAAACTTGTGATGATAGGATGAGTATTTATATCAGGTTAATGTTTTAGTAAGACTTAAATTTTCTTTGGGTTTATAGGTGAAGAAGAAAAGTGCCCTTTACTGAGGTGCATTTTAGGAACATGGATTTGCCTGACGTGATGTGCTTGTCATTCTTGTCTGACATAAAAATTAGCTGCTAGAAATGTTCTCTAGAAATAGTCCAATGCATGTAACAACTTGGGGGATTTGAGCTTCCTTGGATTTCATGATCTCTTGTACCCACTGTCTGCCCTTCTCTGCTTTCAGGGCAAGTCCTGTGCTTACTACCACGGGGTCCACAAGCTCAGTGAGCACCAGGCCCTGCAGGCTGCCCATGGGCTCTACCAGGCCTGGGACATCGAGGACCTGGTGAGCCTGGGCAGGAAACTTCGTGCCTGTGCTTATTTTGCAGCCAGGGAGCTCATGGTGGGGGCAGACATCGTGTTTTGTCCCTACAATTATCTCCTGGACCCGCAGATAAGGGAGAGTGTGAGTATATTTGTGACAAAGTTTGCAATAAGTGAGGTTAAAAAGAAATCAGAAACATAATGATCAGTGATGATGGTCAGCTGAGATCCTATTTATGTCCAAAATATTATCAAGAAAATAACTCCTGGTTTTTTTTTTTCCCCTTGGTTGTGGAAATTGGATGAAAACCTGAAAACTTTCTGTTGCACCATGATGCAGAACGTGCTTTTTTTTTTCCCTGTTAGTTGCTGTGTCTCCCTCATGTCTTTCACTGTTTTACCAGATAATAATTTTCTTTTTTCAGATGGACATCAACCTAAAGGGCCAGGTGGTGATTTTGGATGAAGCCCATAACATCGAGGACTGTGCTCGGGAGTCTGTGAGCTTTGGGGTGACAGAGGCTCAGCTCAGGGCTGCTCGGGAGGAGCTGGATTTCATGGTCAGCAACAACATCAGGCAGAAGGACCATGGGCCCCTGAGAGCTGTGTGCTGCTCCTTGATAAAGTAAGGCGACTCTTTAATTCCTTTGCATCAATTCATATTTTTTTAAATTACATTTAGGTTCCTTTTGCTGGTGTAATTTATGCAGTGGTGTTCTTCAACCTGTGCAGTCATCTGATTTTTGTTCACTTGAGGAATCCTGAGGGTGTTGATCTGTTAAAAGAACTACTGGTCTTACTCAAATGGGAGCATTGAAATTCTGGTTTGAAAAGTGTGTTCTGCTCTTGAATGGTGTTCTCATCTTTATGGGGCTTTCATGGGCTCCTGGCTCAGGATGAATATTTTGCATAGGGTAAATTTTTATATTTCACATGCTTCTGTTTGCTTATTTGACAAATAGCAGCATTATTTTGTCAAAGCATTAATTGGTTCACAATTATAAAATGCTTTCAGAGCCTTGGATGGGAAGTGTTTGGAGCAGGTTGGAATCTGTTCTTGGAATCAGATTGGAATCTATTGAATTCTTCATGGCTGAAAGTGAATTTATCAGTCGTGCCCTTTGTTTTCCCTGTGAAACAGCTTCTTGGAAGGGGAAGGCATGAACATGAGTTGAAAATTATGGGATGGGATGGAACAAAAGCAAATGGACAGAAGCCCAGGGAGAAAGAGGGGGTCAAGGGCAAAGTCTTTTGGGTGAAGTTGAAGAATAAAAAAAGTGGATAATGATACAAATGGGTTTGTAGTTAATTGAATTCTGATTCAGTGCTTGTCACATCATCACTCTGGTGCACTGGACTTTGCAGCACAGCACAAGTAGTTCACCCTTTTCCCATCCTTTCTTCCTCCTGAGAGTTGATGTTTACGTGTCACAGAGACAAGTGACTTTTTCTGTGGTGCAGAAGCTAATTCTCTACCTTGGCCATTTTCAAATGTTAAATTTTAGCAGAAGATAAGAACAGCCTGGCTGGAGATTTGATTGCCTGGAGCTTTTTAACCTTATCAGGAAAACTAAGGTTGATTGTCTTGGCAAATCTGCCAAGAGCATGAAAAGCAGTTGTTGGAAAGCAGAGGCCGGGGTGTAAATAGCCAGTAATGGGTAAAATGCTGCTGGGTTGTGACATGGCTTTGCCAGATGCTTGGGGAACGAGGAAAAATCTTATTTCACTTATAAAGAGCCTGGGCCCTCATTCCAGAAAGCACTTAAATGTGGGCTTAGTGCCACAGGGGGGCTGGAGTGACCTCTGGGAGGAATTTGAGGATGTACCAGTGGAGCTGGCAAACTTTGCTGATGAGATGCACAAATGACTTTGTTCAATGGAATATGCTGTGTCAACAGTGGGATTTGCTGGTAGTGAGGGAAGCAGCAAATACACTTTCTGGAATCAGAGATGTGTTTGTAGCATCCATTAAATCTTTTCCTGGAAATAGTGAATACACTGATTTTTTCACTTCCAAACCATAGATGCCTTTCTGGGAATCAAGCTCATTTTATTTGTGCTTCCTGCTTTGCTCTGAAAATAGTTGAACAGGTATTTCAAGTAAATGCCTTCATGTTAGATGGGATTTATTGTAACAAATCTGGATAGAGCCTTTCCCAAATCTTCGTTCGTGAAGCCCAGCCATGATGAGATGGAATTTAGTTGAGAATTTGGGTGGGGTTTTTTGGTGGTATTTTGCCATGATGAGATGGAATTTAGTTGAGAATTTGGGTGGGGTTTTTTGGTGGTATTTTGCCATGAGGAAGGCCATTGTGTTGAGTTTGTATTTGCATTTATAGCATAACCATTTGAAAAGTGTGTGATGGTGTTTGAGGTTCATAACAGGGAAACAGAAGTTTTACATTTCCTGAAGTGTTTTATCCCTTGTAAATCTTTCATTTCCATCGTGGTGGCCTTTTCCCAGTTTTGGTTCCAGGTCTTTTGGATGTTACATCTGAGGAAATGGGGCCCTACCTTGATGATGTTCTGCCTGTGTTTATGATCACCATTCCTTAATAAAATAAAGCAAATTACAGCCAAAGAAGTGATTGTCATGACAGCATTTTGGGGGGTTTTGTTTGCATTTAACCCGGTGAAAGGCGAGTTTTATTTTAATTGTTCCATGGCTCAGATAATTGCAGTGACACGGCAGGAGATGTGGAACTGAAGCAGTCACTAAGCCTTGCTGCTTTAGTTGATAACGATGAAGTGCTTTTGCAGGTGGATGTTTTGAACTGGTGCAGCAGTGACAGCTGTCCTTGGTTTGCCTCCTCAGAGCTGATGGAACAGACAGTGCTGGCATTTCCCAGGAGGCAGGAACCTGCTGCTTCTCTAGACAGAGGCAGGGCCTTGGCATCCTGCAGGGATGATGGAGGCCAGGCAGAAAATCTTAGCCACAAAGGAGATGATCTGCATGTTTAAATCATGCTTTTAGCAAGTCCTGTCACGTTTTACATTGTACATACAATTATAGTTCTGCTTAATCTTAA